TTGCAGGGCCCTGCTGTTTTCACCCGTCCATTGGTTCTGCCTCTAATTTGCAGACTTCTGTCTGCCCATTTGTCCACCCATCTTGTAAGTCATCATCCACAGCACCATCCCTGTGAAGGGAGGTTTTGGTTAAGAGTAATGAGTTAGACAGAAAATCTAGTGCAGAGAAGTTGGAGTGATTGAAGTAATGCTTCTTAAGATATGGCAGAGAGGGGGAGAAGGAGAGAGATAGAGAGGGAGAAAGACAGAGACAGAGGCAGAAAGACAGATAATTTTTTTGAAAATGAGAATTTACTTTGCAGAATTTGAATGTGTGCATATAAAAATGATGTCTTTATCCTTTAGATGGAATACTCAGAATCTATTGTTCTAGAGAGTAGAAAATATTGATTAAAAGCTCTGGCTTCAGTCAGATTTGGTTCATGACTTTCTGTGCCTTACACATGCAGTAGCATGTTTGAATTTCTGTTTCTCCATCTGTAAAACAGGGTTGTTAATTCTGCTGTGTAGAGTTGTTAACAGAATGAAATGGAATAATGCATGTAAAACACTTAGCTGATTACCACGCTCATAGCACGTGCTCAATAAATGTTAATTAACCTCATTACTATACCCGTGCCAGACTATTTAAGATTCCCCCAGTTCATCCTTTCTTTTTCACAAACATTAAAATTGTATTTTTCCCATGAGGATCTGTGTCCTGCCCTTTTTCAAGTTTCTATATAACATAGTTTTGCATCCTACAGAAATGATTTTTCTGTCTCTGAAACACTTGAGAACATTTGTCCTGCTTGTATTTCAATCCATGTAGATTGCCTAGCTCTGATGCCTCCTCACATGTAACTTACCTCTTCTTAGAGTTTGTAACATAGCTATGGGCAGGGGGTATTTTAAATCCCTTTGCATTTCCGGATGTTTCTCTGCAAAGGGGGTCCCTATTTAATCCTGGCTGGATGGTTGCTCCCTCATTGTGGTAAGGGGGCCTGAATAAATACTGCAAATGGTGGCCCACATTATTTAAACAGACAGTTATTGTGGCACAGTGGTGAGACTCATTCATAAAGGATTCACTGTTAGGGTTGGTTTGTCTCATGATCCTTCCCTGAACTTGGGATAAAATTTTCCCAACTTCTTGCATTGTGAGTAGACAGGGAACATGCTTGATAGAGTGATGTACATTCGAAAATATTTTATTTTTCTTACTGTAAATTTGAATATTTAAATCATTTTTAATTGACAATAATTGTGCATGTTTATGAGTTATAATGTGGATGCTTTGAGATGTTTGCAGTGGTGTTTGGAAAGTTTTACCCGTACTGTCAGATGCATGTAGTAAGAAAAGTTCAAGTCACCCAGAAACAATGACAAGAGAAATACAGCGTGTGTGAGAAAAGATGAACCCGTGGCACTGGTTACAGTCTCATGATGAGTAGAAATATGAGAGCTACTTATTGATCAGTTTTGATGCAGCACTTGAAGGGCAGGCTCTTCGAGCAAAGGGAGCTCTGGTGCCTAAAATCATTCCTGTAGTGAAAAAAAAACCTCGTGGTCTTGGTCATGAGCTCCTTGAGCCTTTGTAGAACTGTTCTCAAGTGCCAGAGGCTTTGGATTGCTAACAAGTTAACCTCTTAATCCTCTTGTTACTGGGGCAATCAGCAGTTAGCAGCTCACAGACATGAGGCTGGCTGTAATACTACCTCCCCCAGGGATGTGTAAGTATTTCCCAGCAGCCCAGGAAGGGGCTACATTTTCCACTTTTTAACCGCTGAGTTTTGCTGTGGTAAAAGGTATATGACATACTGGGAGTAGACAGAGATTGCACTTGGCCAGACCTGACTGAAAACCCTGGCACTGCTGCTACGAGCTGGGTGTTGATGGGTTTGAGGGCTGGAGCTTCCCTTTTCTTATCTCGAAATTATAGCACTGTTATTCTGAACTTCATCATTACTGACCTAGCATCGCGTCCTCACCACTGTGGGCACTGCGTACTGATGAGACTCTGGATACGTGTGTAGCTGGAGCTGTTCCTAGTGGTTTCCATGCATCAGCCCACTTCACTTTCTCAGCAACATATTGATAAGGTGTATTATGCTAGTATTATCCTCATCTAAAACATTCAGTATAATTTGTTGGTAATATTTAATAAAATGTATTTTAATCTTCCAGATTAAATGTAACCTAAGTGTGATTGGTCTAAAATTCTATTTCAAAGATAAAAGCATTCTAGAATCTCATGTGGAAATGAATTAATTTTGAAAGTTTGTCTAGTCCAGCAATTTCTGTATTTTCTAAACTCTAAATTGTTGTTCCCATGATCCACATGTCAAAAATATAGAGACATAGCTCTTCTGTTGAATTGGGACAGGGGCCTTGAACTCTGTGTGATGATATATCTGTGCCCAGGGCTCTGAGGAACATGTACTGAAAATCACTGATTTTCTTCATTTCCCAGGACATGTACCTGGATAAACAAAATGATTTATAATATTTCTCAGATGCAGACTTGAACTACAAATGACATGTCTTGATTCCTAGATCTATTTGTTTCTATGACAACACAATATGTGATTCTACATAGTAATTATTATTTGCTAAAGTTTAAAATACCTTTGGATATTTCACAATGGAACTTTAAAATACCTTTGGATATTTCACAATGGAACTTTGAAACTTTTGTAGTAGATCTAACCTGTTCCTCCTAGATCACCCCAAAGTGCTGTATGATATGTACACAATTTCCTTTTGGAAATTTGATGGGTGAGGTTTAGGACTGGGGTTAGGGTTAGGGCACTAGAGTAAGGGGGGAAAATTAGAGACAAAAAATATTGAAAAATTCTGATGACACTAAAACAAGTAAGTACATTGGGTTGGTATTTGTCCTGAGGACACTTTTAGTCCTGTGTTATTTGGGGTATGGCTTCTGATGGACGCAGTGAGGAGGCAGCACACCTTGTGCCTGGTGTGAATGGCTTCAGTAAGAACCTTGAAGGCTAAACCTCTCTGAGGGTGAATTAGGAGAAAATTCATTGTGTGAGGGAAGACCTGCCTGTCAGCCTTGAGTCTAGACTGTGGTCTAGAAGGGAAAATTTGCATTTTGAAAAACTTAGCTCTACAATGTATTCTTGGTTAATTTCCATCCCCAAGGCGAAAATGTAGTTTATACTCGTTTTAGGCTGATAATTCCAAGGCAACTGATAGAACCAAGCACAAATACTATCTGGGGAAATGCAATTTAGAACCTCAAGTAATTGTCTCAGATTAAATTCCAAATGATATGAGGTTGCAAATAAAAGAATTCCTCGAAATACAAAAGCATCTTGGGTGACACTTAGCATAAACAACAAACTACAGGATTGTGTGTATACAAATTGAAAATATTGGAATTATTCATGTAAAATATGCATGTGTAAAGTGTTTAACAAAAATAAAAACTAGTAAACTTAAAAGATGATATAATAATGGACTATCAAATTTGACCAAACAGGGCAAAAATGAATCAAACCTTATTCTAGAAAATAAAAATATAGTAAGTGAAAATTTCACCAATATCAGTGACTAAAACAGAATGTGGCAGAGCTCAAGATAGAAATAATAACTGAAAGACTTTTCTGGAAGTCACAAAGTTCAGCCTAGAGAGGAAAATATATGTATTATATGAAAGTAAATCTAAGCAACAGGAAGAAGCACTCACAGAGACAATGTTTGAAGAAAGAATATTTGATCATTTTCTTAAATGATGAAAGAGTTCCTCAACACTGACTCAAGAATTCCAAGAAACCCTAAATAAAAATAAATGCACAAGTACAGACCTTAAAGTAAAACTAAACAATACAAACAAAATCAGTCAACCAACCAACCAGTCCAACAACCAACCAATCAAACAACCACTATGCAGTGAAGAAACCAGCCAACCAAACAAGGAAACAAACAAAAACTCAATCTTCAAAGTATACAGAAAGAAAAGAGGTAACTACAGATCAAGGAACTGGATTAGCAACTGAATACTCCCTAATGATCAATAGAAGTTATAAGGAATGAAATAATATCTTAAATACATTGAGATAGAAAAAGTATATGCAGTAAAGCTTTTTAAAGTATGAGGATAGTCTATGGACATATTTAGATGAATTAAAATCTAGTACAGTAACTGTTAAAAAATCTTCACTAAAGGAACGTTCTAAGGAATACTTAAGAAGAAAAATAATTATTCTGAAGAGAATGGCAGGAATTCTGCAAGGAATATTGAACAAAAAGTGTCAAATATGTGCTTTAAAATGATTCCCCAGGAAACATGTTTAAGTATGTCTATAGAAATCTTGTTTATAATTCAAAATGTGAAAATAACACAAAATAAATTGTGGAATCTTCATACTACAGAATAGTTACTGCATTGGCACCTGATTCGTTCAGGCATTAATTTGAATGAATAGAACAAAGCACACCATATAGATTTGCACAACATAATTTTATTTCTATGGACACTGAAATGTACAAAGCTAAGTGATATTTGTTTGAGGATAAGAGCTTGTGTATGACTAAATAATAGATATGTGAAAGGGAGAAATCAACACAAAATCCAATGTTTATCTCTGTTGGCTGGGAGAAGGATCCGTTGGATGGATATAAAAAAGGAATAGCAATAGTATTTTCAGTTTATTTTATATATTTGTATTTTTTTGTGTTGTACATTTTATGAGAAAACAGTTATAAAGATTAATTATATAAGAAGGTAATAGGAAGAGGATTTGGGACCAACATGGGTAACAGCTATCTGGTAGGAATGACCTTATCAACCTGAGTATCCAGGAAAAAGAACCCTTAACGATGAGGATGGCCAGAGTCCTGTCTCTCTTTTCCATCGTTATCCACCCCAGCTTTGAACACTGCCAATGTGTGTTTTCATGCACTGTGATAGGTAGTGACAAATGTTTTGTGTTTTGTCATCTGGAAGTCTTCTGTTTCCTCCTTTCCTGATCTGAAGTTTTTTGTGCATCTTACAGGTCATAACTTCTGCATGGAAGCGCCTAAATGTGGTGAAAACTCAGAGTGCAAAAACTGGAATACGAAAGCGACTTGTGAGTGCAAGAATGGTTACATCTCTGTCCAAGGAGACCCCGCCTACTGTGAAGGTGAGGAGGAGGAACAGGCTCCTGAGAGCTGGGGTTAAAGACTGACAGCCATCGCTGGCCTTTGTTCCTGGGGACTCCTACAGACACCCTATGTTACTCCAGGTGCTCTGTTCCCTGGCTTTATCCAGGCTACCTCACCTGAGAGAACAAGATCCTGTAAGCTGGTGAGGAACGCAGGGACTCAGCACATCCCACGTCGCACTGTGTCTTCTGACCAGAATGATCCTAACACGTGGCTTCCACTTTCAGTTTTGAGGAGATGGTAATCTCCAAGTTCAGTTATGTACCCTGTGCTGGATTCTCTTCCGATAGCGTTTGGCATTTATTTAACCCCAGCTGTCATCTTTTTCAGGTGTCAAGGTCAGGGTTTTTTCAGCTGGATTTCTTAATGACTGATTCATGTGCTGCCCATTACAGATCTTTAAGAATCTCAGTTATTACAGTCATGAGTTTGGCTCCTGGGATGACGCCATTACACTGGGTTTCTACAATGCAGTTTTCTACTCCACAGAGCAGAGCAACTCCGCTGTTGCATGTGAACAGTTCTTTCCAAACTCAGATTGGTGGTGGGCGCCATGTGCCCTCCTCCCTTAATATGGCAGAGATGTGGCTTAGCTCTTCCTGTGTAGGGGTGCTGCTGTAATACCTGAGCCCACCCTTTCCTGGGTGCCCTCTGGCTCTCCCCTGTCAGATTAGAGAACTTCTACCAGGCAAGGGGATGACTGGACACTTTTCCTGTCCCAGTTCCTATCGTTGCGGTCATTCCTTTTACTGTCACTAATTAAATACTAAGCCATGGTGATCTGGTAATTGGGGAGGTAGCTCTCTTGAGTTAAGTAAGTGGTGTAAATCTGGTCACTGCTCCACAAGTATTTGATTCTGAAGTTGGTATTGAGAGTCCCCAAGGTAAGGATAACAGTGGTCTCTGCCGGTAAGAGTAAGTAAACTCCTTTCCCTTCTTCCCTTCTATGTCCTTTCTCCTGAGTTAACTTTTTGGGTTTGGCTAAAGACTAGCAGTTGTAGAGGAAATGTATGTATTTGCCTCTCGGGTTGGTAGTTGGTTGTTTTCATAGCTTCAGGAATATTGTTAATTTGTCCTTTCCTTTTAATTAGCAGTACTCTAACAATTTTTCCTTTTCTTTCCAATACCTTTTTATCCTTTTGCTTACCTTCTAGATGTGTTGGTTAGAGAATGAAGCTGCTCTTTGACATGAACCTTTTTATCTACCCTTTAATATCATGTTACTGATTTGTTAATTTGGGGGAAATGGATTGTAAGTTTGAATACTTCATAGTAAAGTCTATTTTAAAATTTTATCTTTCACAGTTTTCTAGCAAAACATTTAAGTCATTATAAGAAAAATTAACTTATGATCAGTCTGTCCTTTCTTCACCATGGAAAAAAAATGCTGCCAGGCAGGGTCCTATGATTTAAAAAGCTTACTTTCCTACTTTCTGCTTTTTGTGGAGATGGATTCCGAACAATTATAATACTGATGTCAAGAACATGGAAATAATTGGGATCTTGGTTCCATGAACACTGGCAGACCCTTTAGCTGTCCAGGGGATTCAGTGCACCCCCATTCCTGGCCCTCCTAACTAGGGAGACCTGGAAGAATGGGGTAGAGAATTGCTGACCCTAATTCTCTTTGCTTCTGTTCTCCTCCATTCTTTTCCCCCTTGGACACAGCTCTAAGAGCAGCCCCTGTGACATTAAACTTGCCATTATGGGAGCCCTTGTGATACTGTGCTGAGTGGCCTTAGGTCTGAGTCACTCTTCTTGCACAAGCTTCCACTTAGCTCAGCATCTTCACTGGACCTTGGCGGTCTGTGTCTTGGTGCTTCCTTGGGTGATGGTGATGGGCGTGGACATCAGTCATCTTTCCATTTTCCTGGAGACTTTCTACAAGTGCATTTGTTCACAGGAGGCCCCTGAGGAGAAATTGCTGAATGACTGGACTCTTTGAGTGTGCAGAGCTCAGAGAGGACAGCAAGGTTGAAACCCAGGGGGAGCAGCTCTGAAAATGGAATGGAATCTGCATTTCCAGTGGGAAAAGATGCCTCCTCCCTCAGCCTGCCATCTGTAGCATGTCCTCTGATTGCATGGCGGCTGCTGTAGCCGCAGTCGTGGTGAGGCATGGCAGCATCCCAAGCAAGCAAGGAAAGAAGGATCAGGAATCATAAATCTCCCTACATGGAGTTCTGTCTTTTTATGTTGAAAGATTCTTACAGAGCAAGGCTCCACAGCCCACCTCTACCATGCACATAAAGCTTGGCCTGTCTTAGTTTTCAGATCTGGATTAAATCCCCGTGTTCGCTGCACTCTTAGACCAGTGTTGGGGAAAAGGAAGGAAATGACCACTACTGGCTTGAGCTAACTTATCATGCTGTAGAGCGGGAGTACTTTGTCTTTCTTGACAGCAAGTGATCTTTGTCCTTTGTGTAAACCAAATCGGGATGCAGCAACAGAAAAGCACAGAAGTGGCTTTTGGGGGTGGCCAAAGCTGGGATTACCTTACATTTTTAATGGTGAAAGTGAGTTTGTGACCATTTTCTTAGCTGTGTCTTAAGAAATGCCCTCTGGAGTAATCTGTCAGACAGGTTTAGAGGTGAATACTAAAGCCTGGTCTTACTGGCTCACCCTAACCTAAAGAGAACTAGATAATTCAGAGACTGCTTCATGCAAGCTGTTTTTTTACCCTGTGTGAATGGAGCAAAAATGGCCCATGTTATTAAATCCCAATGAACAAGACTGGTTTGCAAATTAGAACAAAATATTACTTGCATTGTCCAGGCTATCTTGAAAAGCCTATTTGGGATGTTAGTGCAAGAAGAAGCAAAAAGGCTTTCAATTTTCTTAACTTCCTAGGTTAGTTGCAGAGCTGTGGTGTATTAAGGACTCCCGCTCCACAGAGATTGTTGTAGAAACTGCTGGAGAGGAGATAGCGGAGTTCCTGGCCAATCAGTGGGAAACAATAAGACCTTTTGTCAGTGATGAAACAATTCACAGGAGGCTGCTTCTTTTTGCCCTTGCAATTCCAGCAGGAACTGTCCTTATTTTGAGGATGTTCTTAGTTGTATTTCAGTATTTTAGGAACCTAATGAGCAGAAGCGTTTTCTGTATGATGACATTTTCAACTACCTGGTCTTAAATAGCTTCTGACCCATTATTTTAAATGGGAAGTAACCTCTGGGAAAGTACAGCAACTAGGTCCTATTGGTGGTCTTTCTTCTTGAATTTAGAGTCTGAATATATAGTCTTATAAACTCCATCTTCCTGCGGTAAGAAGTTATTTTGATGAATAAGAATACTGTGATGTCCTTTACACTCTAGACTCTGCCATGTATATTCACTACTACAAGTAGCCTCGAATGCTAAGACCTTTACTGCAGAGTGTTGTGAATTTTCCAATGTCTTTTATATCTGGTGTAGTTTCTGAGGATTAAATACATCTGTGAGGAAATTGGCAGCATTGGGTCATTAGTGCCCCATTTTACAAATGTACATGTGACAACCCAGAGAAATGAAGATAAACCTCGGTGTATTTTTATTCCAGGCCTTATTCTTTGGCCTTTTGCAAACCCTCCCACCACTCGTACTTTTCCAGTATCACACACTGTTCAAAATATTGCCTCCTTGTTTTGTTCTACATCTGGTGGGGTCAGGGGAATATAAGCAGGTGTGACCTGTGTCACTGTCATTTCGGAGTGAACATGCTAAAAATGTTTGCAGGACTCTACCTCACTTTCTTTTCTATCTGGCACAAAACCTGACAGTGTTCAAGATCAGGACTTATCTTTTAGCCAGTGTTACAGAATGAAGATGACTTGGAGCTGGTGACAACTGACAGGTGATGGACGCATAGCATGAGTGAAAAGTAATCCTGTGTACCCAGGAATGTGCAGTTTTTGGAGGTAGTGCTGAGGGGCAGTTACCTGTTGCCTCTTCCTCTGCTCTATTTACTGATATATCCACCTGACTTAGCTCATGCAAACCTTGTGAGGTTTGAAGAATCCATGCTCACAACCAAAGCAGATTGCACCCCAGCGAATGTTGAATGTCCCCAGAGGTATAGAGAATTTGGATGGCAGTAGCCTGCACTGGCTCAGCTGTCAGAAGATAGATTTCTTGAATACTTCACTTGTAAATTAGTGCTTAGTTATATCAAATCCAACATGGTAAGCTGGATTTCCCAATTAGTGTGATCATGAGATAGTATGTGTCTAAAATTCAGGAAACTCTCATATTTACTAAGCATTCACCATTGTTATTGCCATCATGTTTGTTAGTGATGATGACAGTCTTTTTTGAAATTGGTGTTCTCTGTGTAGTCAGTCCTTTGAGAAAGTGGGCTTCCCATGGTTTTCTGGGAGAATAAATGTGTGGTGAGGGAAACGGACTTTGGGTTGAAGAATGAGGGCTCACCAATTCTCTCAGGGGCCAACGGTGAGCACTGGGGCACCCCTCATGATAAGCTACAAAGATGGACTCATTCTTTTCTCAGGAAAGCACAAGCAGAGGTGCACTCAATGATATATTTGGACGAAAGCTTCCCTGCATTGGCATGAAGTTAGTAACTTCATGTAATAAGAGTTCTGAGGTGTGTATAGCAAGGCAACTAATTAACAAGGTGACTTCTAACTTCTTTTCCATGATTGGTAGTGACAATGAAGAAATGACGCTTTCAGAGGGAAGAGGACAAGAAAGTGGCAAGGAAATCAGTGCATACAAGAAAGAGCTCCTAGAATAGCTGAAAGTATAGAGATGTATGGGATGTACCAGCTGAGTGCACTTCCACAGAACTAATCTGTAAATTCTTGATTAAGAGAATTTATGGGAAAATTGGCCAGTGTACTTCATTATACTTCTAATTATCCATGAGTTAACTACATAACTTTTTTTAACATTTTTTAATTACCTTTAAATGTTTTACCTGTTTTAAAATGCATGAGCACTGTGATCTATGTAGCCCAATTGATGCTCAAATCTGGCCTCCCTG